ACAGACTACCAGACACTTTTAGCACCCTGAAAAATATAGCAACAGCTTTACTCACAATTTTTCCTTCTACGTACTTTTGTGAGACCTTATTCTCAGCATTAAATAATATCAAAACCAACAAAAGAAACAGATTGACAGATGAGGTTAGTAGCGCTTGCTTGGGCCTGAAGTGTACAAAATACCAACCTTCAATTGAAGATTTAGCCAATGAAATTCAGCAACAAAAAAGTCACTAATATGCAGGTTAGTTAAAGAATTCGCCCTCCCCCTCACTTATCTCAGTTCATGGCACCCCAAACAAGTTCAATAATATCAAGGGCAACATACGAAATCGACAGATTGATGAACAAAGAAGTTACTAAGCAGGTATGTTAAATAATTTGTTAATTATAATAATTATAATAATTATATATTGCAATTATACATTTTTGTAGTTTAAACTATAAATTGCGCAAAATTATGTTTTTTTGTTGAAGTGACACACCACGCGAGTTATACTCGATTTTTTGCCGAATTTTGACACACCACGCCGAAAAGGTTGCCCATCACTGTCCTATAGTCTACCAAAGAAGGTCAGCTATCCAGAATGCAAGTGGGCAATCTCTGTTTTTTCTGTAGAGCAGGGGTATCAAAGTCATGCGTCATGCCGAAACCATGCCCACCCCATTGCCAGCAATGGAAAAAAAAGTCACGATATGTCGCGACATGTCACGTGATGTTGCAAATTTGACATCCCTGCTGTAGAGAGCGCAACAGCCAGAATTCAGAGATGCTTAATTCACCATGAATCCTCACCAGAAGGAATGCTTTGGTACATTATGTCAGGAAGAAGATAAATGAACAAGTTTTGTAGCAGCATTATTGAAGACTGATAATACATATATAACTGATTTTTAAAACATCCTACAAGACAAAAGAATATTTTTTTCTGAGTGAGAAATTAAAGCAGGAAAAAAAAAATCCATTTCAATTGGAAAAATTCGAAGATGTGATTTGTACTTTTAAATAGCAAAGATTTTGATTGAACCTGTTCAGAAGGCAAGGGAATTTATACAAAATATTGAAGAGAAGAGATTCAAATGGAGGTGTTAGACAAGACTAAACAAAAGCTCTACATGGGACATGAGAAACTAAAAGGGATTTCACTGAGCTAGGCACTACATTTTTCCCCCCTAAATTTTGGGCCTGATTATGGATCGCAAAATGGTTAATGTGCTATATAACTGAAACAAATTCTCCTGGAGAGAAAAATAATTATTTGAAGAAAAAATAATTTGCCTACAAGAAACATATATTAGAAATAAAATATAAATTTATAAAAAGTGGGGGAAGAATTATTTTCAACAAGAACAGAAAAAAGTAGAGTTGTTTTATATAAACCCCAATTAATACCAGAACTTGTATTGACTGATGAGCAAGGTAGATTTGTTTGGGTGAGGAAATATTAAAAAACTATTGTTTTGTTTATCATGATTTTAAGTTAATGTTTCTGGTTGTTTTTTTGTTTTGTTTTGTTTTGTTACCTGAACTAAATAGCATATCAGCCAAAATAGAAAAAAACTTAGCTGTAGTATGGACAATTTAAATACACATTACCTCGAACCTTGCAAAATAGGATATACATCTACAGTATGTAATAATAGTAATAATAAAATAATAGCAATTAAGAGAAAAAAAAGGTGGGAAATATATGCACATTTTCTCTTCATTTCTAAATTTTTTAGATTTTCTAACTACCAGAAAGTTTTTGCTCTTGGTTTTAAAAACATCTATTAAAATTTGTTGAAAAATATTTTGAAAGGTCAGTTATAATTTTATGTAAAAGTTTGTAGAGCATTAAAATAAATCTCTAGAGAAAAAGAAGGGATTCAATATTAAACACTGTCTGCCCAAATCAAATCACTGTCTGACACTGATAACACTATTCTCCTGAGTACTCTTTAAATTGGTTGTATATTAACATGCCTACTAGCTCATTCCTGGAGAAAAGAAGCATGGTGAGAGTCAGCAAACAAATTTTGCACAGCCCTGATAATATACGTTTGCATAAATTCAGCCACATTCCATGTAACTTAGGGCGAAACTATTCAATACATTAAAGATGTAATGCATGATTGCCTTCTGAATTTTATTTATAATAGAGCAAGAACACTGTCTTTGTTTGCGGGGAAGGCTTAAATTCCCTACCAATACTTAGATTGGATTTAAAAAACAAAGGTAGAGGAGGAAGGGAGCAGGGAATCTCTGTGTATTTATGTATGGCTAAGGAAAAATCAAAAAGATCTCATTATTCTCTGATGTTTAGCATATGTGGCTTAACTCTAAGCTAAAGTAATTTGGAGTTAGTTTGTTTGTTTATTTGTTTGTTTGTTTATCAAACTTGTATGCCACCCACTCACGACTCTAGGTGGCCTACAGAAATTGAATAAAGTCCAAGTAAAACATTAAAACAATAAAGAGCTTATTTTTTTAAAAAAAAATCAATTAAAATAAAACTAATCGGGATGGAAAGGGAGGAAGCAAAGCATGCACAGAGAGGAGATGAGGTGCTCATTAGCTAAATCCAACATGTCACACTCCCATTGGGACCCCAGGTTGTTGTCATCGCCATGACTTCAAGGGCTTTCAGAAGGCTAAAAGTGTTGGAGTGGATCTGACCTCACATTCCCATTTCAAAATTAGTTTTTGACAATTACATTTCCATCAGATTCATATAGAATTCCTCACTTCACATGTTCAAAGCTATCTTAATAGTTCTAAGAAAGCTCCTAATTACTCAATTAAGATTCTGAAGCTGTTATCTTGCCATACTGCCTAAAACATGTTGTAGACTTTCTGCCCTCCAACAGCTTTTTCTTCTCTTTGGTCAAGTCTGAGAAAATTCTCAGCCTCATTTCTTGAAGTACAGGTAGTCCTTGATTTACAACCATTCATTTGTTTGAAGTTAAAATGGCAATGGGGAAAAATTCTGTTTTTCACACTTACAACCATTGCAGCATCCCCATGGTCCATGTGACCAAAATTCAGATATTCGGCAACTAGCCTTTTGATCCCCTTTTGTGAAAGTTCATAAAATCGGGCAAAACTCACTTAATAACTGTCTTACTTAGCAATAGAAATTTTGGGCTCAATTGTGGTCATAAGTTGAGGACTGCCTGTATACCAAGATTGTTCATCAGTATCCACAGTAGCACATTTGGAGGTTTGTTTAAGATTGAAGTGTATCCTAATCCCAAATTGGGATTGTTCTGTGAAAATAAAACCAAAAAGCGGAGCCTAGTACTTTTACTTTCTTTTAACATTCAATAGAGAACTATAAAAATCCTTCAAGAACTGAACATTCTGCCCAGGGGAGATAAGCAGGGTAAATCTTTCAGATTATGGTAGATTCCAGTTAATGAGCTAGTGGTTTTGTTCAAGGAAGAAGACCTGTTATGATGTCCTGGGCTTGCAGGCAGCACTCGCTTTTAGAGAAAAACAGCAGTGGTGGGGTTTCAATTCAATCTTTTCAGGATAGAGGAGCAGCACAGCTAGTTGTCATAGCCCCGGGGCTACTAGATCTGGACTGCAATAACCTTGACAGTTATTAAGATCCAACAAAGACATTTTGCTCCATCTCTGTAAGTCCTAACCAATATAGAGTGAGGTTGTCTGCTAAGCTTTTCCGCAACTCACTTTGATCTATTACTCATCACTAGAGCTTTTTAAGAAGAGACTGGACAGTCACTTGTCTGAGATGGTATAGGTTCTCTGCTTGAGCAGGGAGCTGGACTAGAAGACCTCCAAGGTCCCTTCCAGCTCTATTCTATTCTATTCTATTCTATTCATCCCTTAAGGTATCCAGGGTACCTCAGTTGCCTACATTCTTCTATGGACATTACCAACATTTGTGCCTTGTTTGTTTGTAATATTTTGCCTTCTCCAAGTGACATTACTGGCTTATTGCTATGCTGCAATAAAACAAAAGCATTGACATCATGAACCCAAGACCCCAACCCACCCACCCCAAAAAAACAAGTATTATTTTTATCTTAGATTATTTTTTAAAAGTCATTTTTAAAAAGTCATTAAATTACAAATCATTTAATTCATCATTCAGATCGGGGCAAAGACAGCTTTCACACATTTTTTTCTAGTGTGCCAATTGCTTCTTTTATGGAATGGGAGGCATTATTTGTAATAACATGTGCCTTGGCTCAAACAGAATATTGTAATGTGCTCCATATGGGACTAGATTTAAAGACCAGGTGGAAGCTCCTATGGGTCTACAATGCAGCAGCACAGGGAATAAAGCCTGTTACTGTAGACCACCAGTTTTAGCTGATGGCAGCACCTGAACTTATAAGATAACCATAATCAATCCTGATTACTGAATGGATGAGAGACCACCAGGACATACTTGGAATTTTAGAATATGAAATTGAAAAACATTGTGAAATAAGGCTATGGCAAAACCCTCTCAATGCTGCTATGAATGTTAAGGGAATGTGTGTCCATAAAACATCAGGAGCCAAGCTAAGTTTGAAGGAGACTTTACTAATGTGGATTATAGGCTTTTTACATTTAAGGTTTACATTTAAATTAAATTCTAATATCTCCAATTAAAAATGCTGAATAGAGTTGCTCAAAGGAAAAGAATTCATAATCAGCTTTCCTAACTCTTTATTCTTACTCTTCGAAGAAGTCCCACTACATTTATTGCCGTTTGATGTATTCCTAAATGTATCATTGTGAAAGTGGATGAAAAGGGAGAATCCAGAAGGAATACTTAAGACTCAACTAGAATACAGGGAATGCTTGTCACAATTCTCCAAAACAAAATATCTGTGTTGTTCAAAGCCCTTCTAAGTCCTGAGTGGTTCTTATAAATCCCACATCAAGTTAGGTACAATTAAGGCAATGAACTACCATAGCAGTAAACAAGATGTTCAGCATCTTACAATTTAGCTGTTTAGGGAAAGTACATTGAAATAACAATCATTATTATCATGAATACTCACCTGGAACTATTAGCTCAATTTCCTTTGACACAGAAGTTCCCAATTCATTGGATGCATAGCAGCGATATTTTCCTTGAAAAAGGGATATGTTCCCACGATTTTTAACTACAAATGTTCCTGAATTATTAAATGTAGTTATCCGTGAGTCATCCAACAGACTAAATGGTTTCCCATCTTTTGTCCAGTTAAAGCTAAAATGACATTAAATAGCATTAAATAATTTTGAAACAATTATAATGTATCAATATTTTATAAATTAAATACCAGAAATCTTAATATTTTTGTCTTGCTCCGTCTCATCTATGCATGAATAAATCAGAATGACTACATATTAGATATATTTCATATAATATATTCTGATAAAATCAACTGAAATATAATATTGCATTCTATATTGGGCCACTCAAATCACAAGTTAAAGGATAAATATCTCAGTAGTTCTTCAGTGTATGTGTTGAGAGGCACATATTACATAAAATACAATATTTAGTACTGTTCCTAAGAATGTAGAAGATCTGATCTAAACCTTATCTAGAGATTGCATAGTGTAATCATTATAACTGAAAAATTAGCTATTAGCCTTCATAAGCTTTCCTTCAGTGTCCTTGGATGACCATGTGAAATATAGAAGTGCTGTCATTTGCCTGTATAACATTCTCTTTTTAAAAACCTTTATAGGGAGTGAAGAACTATCAAGCTTGTTTATACTTGTGATGAAGATTGGAAGTTACTTCTTTATATTTTTCTTTTTTTTTCTTTGTCTCACTCATCCTTTTTTCTCTTTTTTATTTGTTCCCTGTTGCTTTTTTTCTCCTTCCCTTCCCTGGGTTTAGTTTTCATAATTTTGTATTACTCTAATTAAAATCTTTAGCTAGAAAAGTGCTGCCTATGAAGAGCTTTGATCTTAAATCTTGCCAGTTTGAGTCCTTCTTAAATTAGATCTGGATAGCCAAAGAGTCTGCATTCAGTAGCCTAGAAAATGTAATAAGTTCAAAATATATAATCCTTTCATGGTTTTAATAACATGTACATATCAGAATAAGCATGTTTATATTTATGTATGGACTGGATATACAAGCAAAGTCATGCAAAAGACATATAAATCTCCTTCTAGATGTTGCATATTTCATATAATTTGCCAGAATGCACAGTATAAATCATGTCTTGCATTATCCAACAGTTCTGTTTCAAATGGAAGATACTGGGCTATCTTTGAAGCTATACACATGTGAATTGGTAGGCTAAAAAAACAAGAAATCTAGGTATTCTCATCCTTGTCTAACTAAATTCTCTATTTTTCAATCTGTCTCTTCTCCTGTAATGACCTGCATTTCATGACCTCACTCTGTAATGACTTGTATTTCATAACAGGCCAAGTTCATTCTTCTTTTGGTAAAAGTGTCCTGAATGAATGGGGAACATAATGAATGGTCTGAATGGAGCACAATGGGCTTATCACTGTTTTTCCTTTCCCAAATTTATTTATGTAGTTTCTGCACTTTGAGCTCTATGTGGAAAGAATGTTCTATGGTAAAAATCAAACATTGTTTGGATTACAGGAACTTGATTACAATCTGATTGTTTCCAACTTAAAACTACAAACAGGACATGGTTAGTAGCAACTAGAACATTAGCATGCCCTGCTTACACACTTCAATTCTGAGGTTAATCTGGATACTGTTAAGAATAGATTATAAAATTAAGACACTGAGCAGATCTTTTTAGGCTGGTTTTATATTTTATTTGTGACTGGTGCCTTTGGGTCATCCAACAATACAGGCTAGTTGATTAGTCTAATGGTTAAGGCACTGGACTAGAAAGTGGAAGACCATGAATTCTATTCCCATTTTAGGCATGAAAACTTGACTTTGGGCCAGTCAGTCTCTCTCAGTCTAATTTATCTCACAGGGGTTTTTGTTGAAGTATCTCTTAGGAGGAGGAAGGAGGGTATGTTTGCTGCTTTATTTATAAAAATAAAGGCAGGATATAAATATAAACAAATGATTACAAGAGGGAGGGAGATAAACATTTTTAAAGAAAACAATGAAAACCAAAGGTTAAAAAAACACTAAAAGAGAAATAAATGTTCAGAAAATAACAAATCAGTAAAACTTACATTGGTTGGGGGTTTCCTTTAGCTTCACACTTGATTGAAAATTCCTCATCAAAAGGGAAAGCAACCTGATCTGTTGGCTGTGTTGTTATTGCTGGGAGCTGTCGCACTGAAATACACAAAGATAAAATATACCTGGAAGCCCTATTTGCTTATGCTTTCACTTTCTGTCATAGAGAAAACTAGCAGGACATTCTCCAAAATAAGAGCAGCTACTAAAAATATTCTCCACTGATCCAAAAGTGAGATTAGATAAGTAGCAATTATTTTACAGTGGAGTGAGGGTACTGCAATGGGATGGAATTAAAACAAGGGACACTTTGATCCTGGAGAAGATGCTTGAAATACCACAAATAACCAAGAAAACAAATTAATTCTGAGTTCCCACCAGAGATACAAATGTAGTTTGTATCTAGTTTAAATTAGCATATTTTGAGTACATTATGTGTAACACCTGGATCTTTTCAGAAATTCATACTGCTAGGAAAGAGGGAAAGAACAAGATAAACAGGACAAATAGCAGTATGATGAATGTACTCAGTTACAGCAGCAGTAGATACTATAGATCTAAAAGACCCAGTTGCGGACAGCTTATCCTGAATAAAATCTATCTGAATGGTTAGACACTCTATTGATTGTTCACTGGGCGACTTCAGGTCAGTCATATCTCTCAGCCCAACTGAACTGACAAAATTTTTGCTGTCAAATAAAATAACAGGAAACCACTATATATATGCTGCTTTGAACTCCAATGGAAGGATGAATATCTGTACAGTATCTACAGTACATTGTTTACTTATCTAAACTTCCATTATCTGGTAGAATCATTCTAAAGAAAAGTTTTCTTGGTGAACACAGAATTTTGAGAAACTAAGGAACAATATAGTATATCCATGGAAAATATTGTAATAATATCTAAACTGCCTTCCAATAATCATCTATTATTACATATGAACACATGCTCAAATGTCTTTATAATAGTGCTTCCAGAGCAAAATTGCAAAATCCAAATGACTTTAGTGAAAAGATACTAAAATCTCTATCCATATATTAATAATATTAAAAATATGAACCCTGGGTATATTCATGTTAAAATAAAATGAGCACCAAGGTAATTAAAACTATAAAAGTTTAATTTAAAAACGCCAAGCTTTCGCCGTCACCTGCCGGCATCATCAGGGCTTAAAACGCCAGAGAGTGGGAGAGTCTCTTACAAGCAAGCCAGAGTCTGCGCCCGGCTCCTTGATCTCATTATCGGATCTAATTGGATAGATTGTACTCCAGTGATCCGTTTCTTCCTGCACCCATTATCTACGTGTATGTCCTCATTTGCCTTCTTTTCCTTGGATTCTAGGGTAGATGGGGCAACCTCCCTATCTCCCTGGTTGCCCCCCTCCTTTGATCCATTCTCTCCATCTTTCTCCTCTAGGTTATCCACAATTTGTCGGGGGATTGGCATATCTTCCTTGGTTTCTCTACTGAACATGCCATTGAGCCGTCGGTAATGGGATGGGCAACTGGCCGCACTCCATGATCTTAATGCCAAATGTGCCGAGCAGAGGTCAACGTGCCGGTTAATGGAGTCACTATTGGAGAGCCATGCTTCTTTTAGCAGCCGGCCTCCCTTTGTATTGTCACTTGCCAAGACGCATACCTCGTTAAAATTAAAGCGGTGGCCCAATTCCGCCATATGTACCCATATCTGGGAGTGCTGCTCGCCCCTTTTCACTGCCAGTTTGTGTTCATGGACCCTGGTCTTCACTCGTTTGGAAGTCTCCCCAACATAGTTGCATGGGCAGTCCATACAATCAATCTTATATATGGCTGCCGACCTTTCCATGCTGGGGAGTGGGTCCTTGGGGCGCATAATAGCGGCCCAAGGATAAGGGGAGGGCAACTGTTGTCATGGACAAGGTGATGTATATTAACAAGGCGCTGGAATTGCTCAATGACAGTACTGCATATAAGGTAGTTAATAAAGACCCCACAACTACACTCAGGAACCATACCAACAAGCTTCTTGATGACTTAAAACGGAATAGGGGGATGGGTGAAGACGTGTTGAGAAGAGTACGTCCTGGTGACTCAGCTCTTGCCAGGTTCTATGGGCTACCCAAGATACACAAACCCAACGTCCCCCTCCGTCGTATTGTTGCATTTAGGGGCACCCCTACCTCTGAATTGGCCAACAATAGTAACACCACTGTGAGATCGGCAGATGAATTCTTAAATAAAATTAGAGCCCTGAGGGTGGAGGAAGATGAACTTATGGTTTCTTTTGATGTGGTTTCCTTGTTTACTTCCATCCCACAAGACCTTGCGGTCACTGTCCTAACAGACCGATTGGACCAAAGAAACCCGGAACAACATCAAGACTCCCTCCAGATGGAAGATCTTATAAAACTGGTAGGAGTCTGTTTAAAGACTTACTTCACATTTCAGGGCACTATATTCGAACAAATTAAGGGAACACCAATGGGGTCTCTGATCTCCAGTATAATAGCAGAGGTGGTGCTCCAACGGTTAGAACACATAGTGATGGCCCAGTACCAACCAAAATTTTGGGCCCGCTATGTGGACGACACGTTTGTAGTCATCAAGAAGCAGCACAAGACTGACTTTATGAGCATTTTGAATTCGGTATACCCAGACATCCATTTCACCATGGAGGAAGAAAATCAGGGCTCGTTGGCATTCTTAGATGTATTAGTTCAACGCCAACTGGATGGATCTCTGACCACCAGGGTATACCGAAAGGCAACTTGTACGGATAGGATTCTCCATTATGAGAGTAACTATCCGACAGCCCATAAAGTCAGTTGTGTTAGAACCTTATTCAAACGAGTGGAGTCACATTGCAGCACTGCCAGAGCAAAGAAGGAGGAAAGAAACCACCTTTTCCAGATATGCAAGCGCAATGGGTACCCGGTAAGATTCATCAATCGGCATGGTATACCATCTGAATCCCGGAGTAACCCACCACCTGACGAACCAGTGCCACAGACAACACGTGTCACCCTCCCCTATATTTGCAACGTCTCAGAGGCAACAGCAAGAATCCTAGCGCCATATAACATAAAAGTAGCACACAGACCCAATCAAACGCTACGTGCCGCTATTATGCACCCCGAGGACCCACTCCCCAGCATGGAAAGGTCGGTAGCCATATATAAGATTGATTGTATGGACTGCCCATGCAACTATGTTGGGGAGACTTCCAAACGAGTGAAGACCAGGGTCCATGAACACAAACTGGCAGTGAAAAGGGGCGAGCAGCACTCCCAGATATGGGTACATATGGCGGAATTGGGCCACTGCTTTAATTTTAACGAGGTATGCGTCTTGGCAAGTGACAATACAAAGGGATGCCGGCTGCTAAAAGAAGCATGGCTCTCCAATAGTGACTCCATTAACCGGCACATTGACCTCTGCTCGGCACATTTGGCATTAAGATCATGGAGTGCGGCCAGTTGTCCATCCCGTTACTGACAGCTCAATGGCATGTTCAGTAGAGAAACCAAGGAAGATATGCCAATCCCCCGACAAATTGTGGATAACCTAGAGGAGAAAGAGCAACAGCCGAAAAACCCCACCACCCCCACAGTACTGACGTGCTTCCAAAAGGCTAGGAGGGCGGCGAAAATCAAAGCCCAGAATCCCCGTATTATGGACACCGGGGACATCCCAATTGGTGCACAGGAAAACATCGCAGATGGAGATGGGAGGAGATTCTCAGGATTGACACCTCACTTACAGCTTGAGAGAAAACAGCTGACCGATCCAAAGAAGACGGGACGACTCCCCCGACCAGCAACACCAACCGAATCGGGAACGCATAGAGCATACGGCGCTGAGTGTAATAACGAGTGGATGGATATCCCGAGGAGCAGGGAGAAGAGTGAACCCGGACGGAAGAACACGTGGGGGGTGGAGCTTGTGAAATCATCTTGCCGCACCCCGTATCGGCAGCACCCATTGACTCTAAAGACCTGTACCACACGCATGCAAGAACGAGAAGCATTGGAGGGAGGAGGGGAGCAGAAGAGGAACGTCACGACGTTCGAGGAGACCATAATCCCACTTCCCCCCGCATCGGTGATCCCGATTGTAACGTGTGGAGGAAGGATGCAGAAGACAAAAAAGGGGGGAGGGGCATGATGACTGCGCATGACCATACTTACGAGGCTTATCACATGGATAAACAGCTCACCGAACTACCCCAATTTATTGCTGTAACCCAGGCAGCCCAGAATGTTACACATGACCATCTTAGTAACAACTGGGCACGAGGGGGAGGCGTTAGGGAACAAAGGGAAAGCACTCGTAGAGAGAATAGCTGCATGGATGTGGATTGGAAAAGGAGGAAAGGGAAATGCAAACCATCACACAAACCTGAGGGAGAGAATGGATCAAAGGAGGGGGGCAACCAGGGAGATAGGGAGGTTGCCCCACCTACCGTAGAATCCAAGGAAAAGAAGGCAAATGAGGACATACACGTAGATAAGGGGTGCAGGAAGAAACGGATCACCAGAGTACAATCTATCCAATTAGGTCCGATAACGAGATCAAAGAGCCGGGCGCAGACTCTGGCTTGCTTATAAGAGACTCTCCCACTCTCTGGCTTTTTAAGCCCTGATGATGCCGGCAGGTAACGGCGAAAGCTTGGCATTTTTAAATTAAACTTTTATAGTTTTATTACCTTGGTGCTCATTTTATTTCAACATATATATGTATGTATGTATGTATGTATGTATGTATGTATGTATGTATGTATGTATGTATATATATATATATATATATATATATATATATATATGTAGGTCTTTGGTTGTTCGGGTTTTCTCCCGCGTAAAATTGGAAGTGTCTTGGCAACGTTTCGACGAAGTCTCATTCGTCATCTTCAGGCTGGTGTTTTCAGCTTCGTGCTTTGAGCAGCAATGTGTGGTCTTAGCTGTTTCTTCCTTTTAACTGCCAGTGGGGGTATGAACTGATTGGGTGGGAGCTTGGCTGTGTTCTGATTGGGTGGAGGTGTGTTCTGAATGGTTAGGGGCTTGGCTGTGCTCTGATTGGCTGGGGGAGTGTTCTGTTTGGTTGTGCTCAGGTTAGTCT